ATGATTTAGTTATGTTATTCTTTTGCTCAAGTAAATTTTAATAGTTGGTTTCTTGCTAATAGTTTAATAATTTTTGATGATAGTTTAATAAATTATTGATATTTTGAAATGTAAATAGCAAGAACACCAGATTTGTCTATTGAAGAACAATCTGCAATATTCATATTGTGGCAAGAAAAATATTCTATATGTCAAATAGCAAAAAAATTCAAAATTTAAACTTCAACAGTTTGGAATATTATAAAAAAGAAAGAAAAAACTAGAAGTATGGTCAATCAAAAACAATTGGGAAAATATCAAATTACATCTGCTACCGAAGAATTACAGTCACTAGTAAAAGAAATAAATTATTTATAACCCATTCATTGAATAGTTCTTGAGGAGCTCCAGTATCAGTGACAACGGTGAAGAGGTAGTTAATGGAAGGAGGAATTGGTGGCAGAATAGCTGCAAAGATTATTATTACCTTGACTCCAAAATAAATAAAAAAGACTAGATTGGGCAAAACTACACAAAAAATGGGCAATCGATGACTGGAAACATATTTTTTTTGGTCCCGCAAGTCAAAATTTCAAATCTTCGATTCCAAGAGAAGATCGTTTGTCCAAAGAAAGGTTGGTGAACGGATAAAAAAAACAGTGTATAATGCCTACTGTGAAACATGGTGGTAGTAGTGTTATGGTTTCGGGCTGTTTTGGTGGTAATACCACAGGTGAAATCAGGGCCTTTGAGAGCACCATTGGTGCCCGGGTCAAAAATAAAGAGCAGCGCCCTTAATTCAAATCAATTAATTAAATTAAAATTTAAAAAGTTAGTTTTAATACTTTTAAAAAAATCAATCAACAAAACCTTCAAGAAAGGTAAATAAGGTGCTTAAAAATAAACTTTTTAAGCTTTTATGGCCGCCCAAATATTGATGACATTTTCGTAGCTAACCTTTTTAGCCAAAATCTTCTTTAATCAAAATAATCAAATATCAGTAACACAATCCTAACTCATGGTCAAACGAGAGAGATTTTTACAATTTTTAGTTTACTAAACAATCGCTCATCCGAAAAATGATACTAATGTATAAAAAAAGGCTTTTAAGCTTCTTCTAAAAAAATTAGATCGAATAGCTGCATTGGATTACCTACCTTAAAAATTGTTTTGAGGACATTTTTAAAAGACGAACTTTTTCGATGACAATCTTTTTGTTCAGATCTCTTGGATAAAACCGTGCAAGTTCTCATACTTTAATTTAAACAGAAAAATTATCATTATCCAACCAGACGAATAAAAACATATTGCCCACCATCTTTCTTGTCTTAAATCTTGAATCAATCTGCTGGATCAAACAACTAAATCAACATTAAATCAACATTAAAAACGTTCACAATCTAAATCAACATTAAAAACGTTTGATTTAAGTTCTTGTGTTTAACTGAAAAGGAAATAGGCTGTGTTTAGAGCTTTAGCTTACACTTTCCCTTAGTTGCGAGTTCAGCTTCGAATCCAGGCGGTTCAGCTACAACTACAGCCTTTTATAAAATTTGAAACCAAGAGCCCCTAATTCGTTTAAGATTTTCCAGCAGCTGTTCAATCAAACGTAGCTTGTCATCAATGGTAATAGCTGCAGATTGTAAATATTGACTTACATTGTTAACAATATTAAAGGTTTTGTACCCAATCGTAACTAGCAATACAAATTTAAATGATGATAATCAATTTATGTCTCTTATTTGGCTGAGCTACTCACTGGTCAAACATTTTGACCTTTGAGCAGCTCTTAAATATGTAGTGGTTTTTCACGACATGTTTAAGAGCTGCCAATATTTCTTTTGGCAAGTGATTTGATCAAGTTGATAAGAGAGCTCCATCTTGTCATAGAAAGTCAATGAAGTGAAATCCCAGTTGCTTCAGTGAGTATTTTCCATTGAGCAAGACTTGTACTAAAAAATAAGTACAAAGATTCAAAATTTTTAAAGTCTCGATGACTGATTCAACTGCGTATACACCAGCCAAATTCAGACTGTGAGCGCTATCGGAAACATACAGAGCTTAATAAATTCACGAACAAAAGAAACGGAATAACGGAGAAAAGGAATAACAAAAATATCTGCTCAGTATGAGATATATTTAGAGTACCATCAACTATGATTGTGAAGTAGATACCATTCTGGATTTCTTCGACAGCTGCACTTCGGATGACACCACCATATTCTTTGATGAACTCATTTTTAGACAACTAAGAAAGGTAATAGGCACTTATTTTGGAGCACTTTTGTTGATTATGTTTTACATTTTTTAAGTGGGATGCAATGAAGGGGTTGTAGCAAGCAATAAGCTCCATTCCAGGAAGAAAGGTTCCATTTTCTTCACCATTCACATCTGTTTTTCACCTTAAAACATAATTGTGTATAACAATTTTAATTAAATTATTACAACAATTATATAAATAATAATAATATATGATAATTAAAGTTGATATTGAGAAAACTTTATCATAATTTATCTAGAAAAGCCAAATTCCTAGAAGCCAGGAAAACAGTCGCATTCAGAATTCAACAAATAATTGTTCGTCAATTAGCTGTCTCAGAATTTATTCACTTCTGGAACTCTAAATATATACCAGTAGAGCTTATAAGATGAATGCATGACTCTTTTCAATCCTTGTAGAAATTTTTGTGCAATGGGCTGAATTGATGCTGCTTTACATGATTTATGAGTTTCCTCAATTGATCCTTAGCTCCTCTATTCCAACAAAGAAGGGACAACTATCTACTTTTGAAAACTGCATTCATGCTGGAGTTTTTTTTTTTAAATAATTACATCTTGATCTTTTTGACTCAAAACAACTGGTCACAAAGAGGGGTTAGCAGTAACTATTAGCAAGTCAAGTTGAACATCACATTCTCCACTGTTAGATATAAAGTTTCTTGTTCTGACTCTGATGATTCACTTTGAAATTTATTTAGCTCAGCTTCAGGGGAATTGTTTGAGTCCCCTACTGATTCACAGTCCTTCAAATCACACATATTGAGTGCAGTAAATTGCACATATTTAGTCTCATTTGTTTTTTTGCAAGAGGTTGAAGCAAACCCATGAAACGCACTACCTAACAAAGATCTCAATTCTATAAGTGTTGACTGCTTCAAAGTGATATTTGATCAGTTACCATTATAATTACTACAGCACATCATCTTCCATACAATCGAGCATGAGCTAGCATTGCTAACTGTTCATAGTATTATGGAATACGCCTGTTTCTGTCTAATTCTATTACAATAAATCATACTTTTTTCGTAAAAAATAGTTTATAACTAACTATAATATTAAAACTTGAATTATTTTTTTAATTATAAAATTTTTTTTATGGGTACTTTTATTTCGAATACTAAAGTTTTAATCTCAAATACATAAACTAAGCAGATTTCACATTGTCAGTCATTAAAATATTTTCCATTTATTGTGAATAAACAAAAGTGAGATAGAAAACAATTAAATATTGAAAAAAATGATTTAGTCTCCCCAATCACCAGATCTTTTGCCTATGAAATTTTAATGGGATGAATTAAAAAGAAATGTAAAAAGATTAATGCCTAATGGTGCAAAAGATATTTGAAAAAATTTAATATTAAGTGGCATCAAATTAACTTTGAAAATTTGGAAAAGTTTCTATGTAGAGTGCCAAGAATATGTAAAGCCATTATTGCAGTGAAGGAGGGTTATATAGATGAGAGAAAACTATTAATAATAATTCTAATAGAATTTTTAAATTCTTTCTATGTAAACTTAATAAAAAGTAAAATACCATATATTTTAGGTATTTTTGTTTTCAGTTTCTCTCATAATAACAAGTAAAACTTTGATAATTTTGAAAAGCATGGCCATTTGAATAATTATGGATATATATATTTGGATATATGGATATATATAAAATTGCATTAGTTCTTTTGTTATTTTCTTAAAATGTGTATATTTTATAAAGTATTTAATTTGATCAATAACAATTTGAACATGTTAGCTCCATTTTTACGCTAAATTAATTCCGATTGTGCAAATAAATTCATGGCTAAAATAACATTTTACAATAATACCATATTTATCATGACACAGTGAGAAAAACTATAACTTTTAGAGGCATAAAAATGACTTAAATATATTAATTTTAGTATTAAAGGTATATTTTAAACTAACTTCCATGTGTCTAGATCAATATTCGTTTGCTAAGAGTTGATGAAAATGAGAATAAAATTTGTCTTCTTTTTTATTTTCTGACGTGGAATTGCCCATATAAATATAGATATGAATATACAACTTTTGCCTTTCTCAATCCTTAGCACAAATAGTCAACTTTTCAAATCGCTTTCCAGGCCATCCAAATCATTTACATTCTCTACTTAACTAGTATTTTGTTTCTGAACCTAGTTAGCGCTCAGTTTCTCCACATTTAATCTTAGGTGCATCTAATTAAGGTTTGATCTCTCTAAAACTATTACCTCATTTTTCCTCAACATCAGAATTCCCCTATCATTGTACCTCATACATTATTTCTGTGATTTTCTTCATGATAGCCATTGGGTAAAAAGCTTGCTTTTTCCTGCTGGCAAATGTGCATCTTATGTAACATTTTGGATTGAGGTTAGCATAGAATCTTTTATTCCCTCTCCGTGTTTCCAAGTGGAGCTATACTCTTCTACATGATTTTCCTCTCATTGTGCTGCTGCAAGATCCAATTGTAATCATTGCTTCCATATCTATCACAAAAACAATTTTATAAAAAACAGACATCTGTTTACTATTGCTTGAAAACATTATAAAATGGTTTTAACTAATACCAAAGCCAGCTATTCTCAGTTCACAAAATCTCATATTTCAAATCACAAAAATTAGAATCAAGAGATATCTGGAGAATCAGTGGCAATAATAAGAGCAAACCTGTTATTTCACCTTTCTTGCAGATTTTTTACCTCACCAAAAGACAAAGCTAGCAAATTACATCTCTTGATTCCACTGATCACATACTACCTGACATAGCCAACAAAAAGGTTGATTGATTGCTTGACATTTATATCAATCCAGCTTCTGTATCTAAAGCGATGCCTGCTTAAATTCTTCTACAGCTTGTGAACCAGACAACATACTTGTTATAGTCTTGCAGAAGTGTTCCCTATTATTTCAAAACTATTTAACAAATGGTTATCAGAGTCTTGTTTTCCAATCTTCTGGAAAGCGGCATCTATCTGTATTTTCAAAAACTTTGGAGAGTAACCTGACTAGTTTGATCACCTTCCCATTAGTCTTCTTCCTATTATAAGCAAGGTTTTTAATATTTAGTGATTAGTTTTAATATTACTAATCGTAAATCTAATAACTTACTCTCTTTTTACATTGTATCAAGTAACATCTTTAGGATTATTGAACCCTTTCTTATCAATCGTAGAATAAAAGTTGTCTTTAATGGATAGTACTCTTCTTCATTTTATTTAACTTCAAGAGTTCCTCAAGATGTTAACCTTGGCCCTATACTTTTTATAATTTACATTAACAATCTCTTTGGAATTCTCACATCTAAATTGGCATTATTTGTTGATGATACTACCATCTTTTAATATAAAATTCTTTCTCTCTTGTCTTAATAAGAAACCAATACTCTCTGATTGTTTAGAGAAGACATTTGCTTAAAAAAAGAATCACACTTCAGCTCCAGCATTGGGCACTCAGTAGCTGGTGTATTTAACTCAGATAAAACTCAATTTTTTTCAAAAAATTTTATCGCAACAATCTAGATCTTCCTATATTTATGAAGGGTAATGTACTAGATAAGTCATCTCTGTTTTCTAGGATTAACTCTTACTTTAGATCTCTCTTGCAAACTATATATCAAATCCATTGCAAAATTAGCATCTGCAAAGGTTACATCTCTTTATTGTGCTTGCACCTTAATTAATCAGGATTCTATTCATTATCTCTGTAATTCTCAAATTCTTATTCAACTAGAGTTTTCCTCAAACATCAGTTCTTTGAAATTTGCTCCCTTCTTCTTATTTTCCTGATTCATGTAATTTGCAATCTTAAAAGTTGTTTATTAATTGTTAACTTTATTTTTTCTCTTCCAGTAATTTCCAGTATACATATGTATATGTATAAATATATATATATATATATATATATATATATATATATATATATATATATATATATATATATATATATATATATATATATATATATATATATATATATATATATATATATATATATATATATATATAGATAGATAGATAGATATAGATATATATACATATATATATATATATATATATATATATATATATATATATATATATATTATATATATATATATATATATTATATATAAATAAAAATGATTATAAATATATATATATATATATATATATATATATATATATATATATATATACATATATATATTATATATAAATAAAGATGGTTATAATTATATATATATATATACATATATATATATATATATATATATATATATATATATATATATATATATATATATATATATATATATATATATATATATATATATATATATATATATGTATATATATATATATATATATATATATATATATATATATATATATATATATATATATATATTGATTTGAAAAAGCATATATATTTATATATTCAAAAATTAATAGAAAAACCTTCCACAGTGAGCTCAACAAATCAATTTGATGATTGCAAAAACATGTTGAGGTTTGAAACACAACATCTGAAAACTTTTGACAGATTCTAAAACTACACCAACGAACTCTAAATTTTTTTAATAAACATTTTTAATGTTTTAAATCAAGTAATTTTTTAAATTTTAATTAAACAAAATAAGAAAATTATGAGAATGTAAAAGGTGTTAAGAATTAGGAATATCATTAAATAAAAAGGTGTTAAGAATTATTAAGAATATCATTAAATATTTATAAATGTTTAACAAATAAAACTTTTTTACAAGTGCTGAAAGTTGTTTTGAAATAAACAAGTGTGTACAATGACCATTTTGTGTGAAATGGATTTCTTACCTTTTTACACAATGTTTAATTGAAATATAAAATTAAATTTTATCTATTTTATTTTATCTTAAAGACATTTTATAACTAAAAAAAACTCACTGTAATTGTTTCACCATTTTTTTTGTTACATTGTTGCATTTACATTTAGTTGCTGACTCAAGAACGCAATTGATCAACACTTTTGTTTTTCTAATTTCCTCAATGAGACCAGGACAGAAGCGTTTAGAAGCAAGATGAGATAAAAATTGATCCATCAAATAAACATCTATATCCTTAAATATTTAAAAATAAATACTACGTATATATGTATATATGTATACATATATATATATATATATATATATATATATATATATATATATATATATATATATATATATATATAATATATATATATATGTATACATATATATATATATATATATATATATATATATATATATATATATATATATATATATATATATATATATATACATATATATATATATATATATATGTATACATACATGTATATATATGTATATATATATATGTATACATATATATATGTATATATATATATATATATATATATATATATATATATATACATATATATACATATATATATATATATATATATATATGTATACATACATGTATATATATGTATATATATATATGTATACATATATATATGTATATATATATATATATATATATATATATATATATATATATATATATATATATATATATATATATATATATATATATATATATATATATATATATATATATATATATATATATATATATATATATATATATATATATATATATATATATATATATATATATATATATATAATATATATATATATATATATATATATATATATAGGAGAGGGTGCTGTACCTTGGAAGCATTTTGAAACTTTTATAAGTAATAACAATAATTTTTAATAAGGCATCCAGACATTTTTTCATCCCTTTTTTCAATTTCAAAAAATAGCTTACATTACAGTCAAGGTACACCACCGGTGGTGTACCTCGTAGGTATGCATATTGTACCTTAGAGGTATTATTATTTTAACAGATTAAGTACTCAACATGTTAGTAATTTGATATAATGTTTACTTATAGAATAATTAGACTTAACATGAGCCTTATTCGAGCTAATATTGTTCTAACTAGTTAGATTTATATAAACTATAATAGTTTATATAGCTATACATGACTATAAACTCGTACTTAAAAGAATTAAAAACTTACATAAGAAATAAAGTTGATCAAGAAATGTGTAATAATAAATGTCTAAATTAATGTTTAGTAATATTAGATCTTTCACTTTGATTTATTCTTTGTCTACTCTACATTCAGGTAATCAAAGTTAATGATAAGATGATAGTTTTTCTTGATTTCTGAAAAAAGTTTGATTTCTGAAAATAGTCTGTCAGCAACTTTTAGTACTTCTGCTGCAAAGTCTTTTACAGAACGTTTGCCTTAAAATTGTACCCAGATGGAAACTCCAGGCTGAATTTTTTTAACCTGAATCTTGCATAACTTCAAATTCTACTTCTGACTGAGCACTTTGTAATCTTTACAACATCTGTATTTTACATCTAGATCTTTGCTACATCTGCATTTTCCTCTAATTCTGTACTTTGCTCTAAAAAAAAATTAAACATTTTTTTCAAAACAGATACCAGTTGTTTTTCATCAACTTTGAATTTTATTTTATTGACAGATTTTATCTTTGTTTTCTCAGCTTTTTCTTTTTTAATTTGAAGTATTAAAGGATTGAAAGTTAAAATGCAAGTTTTTTTCTTAGAAAAACCTTTTATAGTTTGTTTCCATGGATAAGCTTTCAGGTATGTTAGAATAATATCAAGAGACACACTGTATGTGCATATCTAGTTTGCAAAAAAAGCAGGAATTCAGATTGTCATCTCAGTATCGTTAAAGGGCCCAGGTCAACTAAAAAAGTTTTCATTATCCTTCATTTTGTTGTTGTAATGAAGCCACCCACTAGAAAACTAATTAATTACTAGTGTAATTTACTTGGAATAAAAGCTAAGGGAAAAGCATGCCTAACAATTTTAAATACATCATAGATTGCTGCAGGTTTTCTAGAATTGCCTTGCTTCAACATTTAATCCTTAATTTTATTGTTGTAATAAGTCTTTAATGGAGCAAACATCCCTCTGTCTAAGGGCTGCATTTTGTGACTAGTGCGTGGATGAAATGTAATTCAATTACATTTCGCCAGCTGGATTGTTGGTATTGATATATGACTCTCATGGTTGTCAATTAAAAAATTTATTGATTTTCCTTACTTGAACAATTATGCCTTACAAAAAGTTTCATAAATCCTGGTAACGATTTTTCACTTGGAGGTACACTTGATGGGTTTACTTCACCAAGTGTACCTCCTGGGTCTTCTTTTAACATAAAGTCCTTAAAGGTTTTATTACTCAAAGATATACATACTGTTTTCTGTTAGTAAGATAAATGACTTTTGAAGAGCCTATAAAAATCAAAAATGGTCGAGTTCAGGAGCTATAGAACATTCTAGAATATGCCATGGTTGTTTTGATTGGCTGAATCATAAGACCTTGGCAGTCATTCCAGAATACAAGATAAGGAAAATTAGAGAGTCCCTAGAGACAAATAAAGCAAGAGTTCAACATGAAATAGGTATTGGACAAGCTGCTCTAAATCAAGATGATGGAGATAATAGTATAGCAAAAAATTAGGAACCAATTTTGACAATGTTTTAAATGACGTCACTATTATTTATTTGATTGGTTTTTATATTTTACACTTTTTAATGTCTTATTTTTTAAATAGTTGGTTTTATGTTATTTTGTAACATTTTTTTTATTACCCCATGATGCTGACCACAATAGGTCAGCGAAATATTATTAATATATTATTATAATAAAATATATTTGAAAAATAGT